TATATATATATATATATATCGTTTTTCTTAATTCTCTTAATGGAAACTAAAGCACCCTTGATCATTTTTAACACAACATTTTCAATTTTACCAGTTAAGTCAATTCTCCCTACTGAAATCAGATTCCTAGACAATTCAAGAATATATCTAACATCCTTTAACGTGTACACAAAACCTGTGTCAAATTTTACGTTTATGTCACCAATTCCAGCAATAGTGTAGGCAAAGTTATCACACAGTACAACATACCCAAAATTAGATTCATGCAATTTATAAAATCAATTATTCTCAGATGTTATATAAAAAGATGCACCAGAGTCAAGTATCCACTGATGCATACGGGAATTAGCAGTTAGATTTAATTCATCAGTATATGCAATGGGACTTGTAATCATATAGACCTCACCACCATTTATATCGGAAGTAGATGCTAACACATTTACTTCATCTCTCTCCTTGACCTTTAACTTATCCTTCTCTTTATGACAATCCTTTATAAAATGCCCCGTATTTCCACAACCATAGCATTTTCTTACCTTAATCTTAGATTTTCATCTAGACCTACCTTTGCTTTTCTTTTTCCATTCATTACCACTTGACTCGCCACTAGTTTGATATCCATCATGACTATTTTGCCTAAATTGAGTTCTACCCCACATCATATGCACCTCACCGTTCCTATTATTGTGTTTTTCAGTCCTAATTTCCATTTTTTTTACTTTTAGGGGAGTCTATGACAATTTCAGGTGTCAACGTGTCTCTACCATACTTAATGGCGTTCTTAACTTCCTTCTAGGAATCAAGAATTGCATTGAGCAAAATTATAGCCTTATAAGTTTCGGACACAGTCTCATCACAATTAACTATATCTTGTACCAATTTGTTAAACACGTCTAAATTATCATCGAGATCCTTTGAAAGATCCATTTTAAAACTGAAAAAAGGTTCGAGCAAGTAAAGTTTATTCGGTATAGACATAAGCAAATATAAGTCTTCCAATTTTTTCCAAAGTTCTTTAGTGGTTTTCAATTTACCCATCTTTCTTAAAACGACGTCCGACAAGTATAAAATGATCGAGGTATAAACAAGCTCATTGGCTTCTTCTAAAGGTTCTTGTGAAAAATCAGTTGAAAATTGCCTTCAATGACCTTTGAAACTTTTTGTTGGACTAAAATGCCCTTCATTTTTTTGTTGTCAAATAGCAAAATCATCCTTTCCATTAAAAATCCCCAAATCAAAGTTGTGAGTTGTCATCTTTACACAATAGTTTAAGAGTGCACAAAAAATACAATCAAACCACACAAAGTAGTTTTAGGGGTTCAAATAATATACGCCGTTCAAGATTTTCAGGGTTTCGTAAGACTCAAGGTCTTAGATAAGGAGAATGTTTGAAAACGAGTAAGGTTACGATAATTCTAATGGAATGGATAAGCAACTAAAATAACAATGCAACAGAAAAAACTACGTCTAACAGATAATTAGTTTCACGACAGTTATGTCACTGAGGCTCAAATACTGATTTAACTAAAAGACAAATACTCAATCAAATAATTAAGAGCACGCAATCCTAATTCTAGCACAAGCAATGACTGCCAAGCAATGGCAACCCCCAAACCTAATGATCCCCACACACGATGATTTGCTAGTGCAAAAATATAAAGTTTTCAGCCAATTTATCAGAGTGGACCTATCTAAGTCCGTAACTTGGAGAGATGCGAATTCGCTCCTTTAAGGCCACCACTATTCGCTCTAAAGGTTCAGCAAATATAACAGTTCGTTCAGCAACAAATGCAAATTGTAATCGGGGCAAAATCATCCAAAAATTTCTGCACAACTCGAAACACTAAATCAAACACATTAGTACGTTCAGGAAATTAAAATAATTGAAGTGGCACGAAAAAACCATGCAGGAGGTCCTCCACGCGCCATCGCCGCCACACGCCTCACCACCGGAGGCGCCTCCACCTATTGGTTATGGGTCCGATCTCCGTTCGTCCAATGTAGGTCGCCTTTGGTCGGAATAAGCAGTTGCAGGTTCGGCCCCTTTTGAAAATCGCGAATTCGCCGCCGGTTATGGTTGATTTTCTTGTTGGAGAAGATGACCCACGCTCTGATACCAGTTGTGAGACCAAAATCCAGCAATACCCAAGGTGATACTGGGCTCAATTTCCACCAAAGTCGACACCACCACTATTGAGTCACACCCAAATCTCTCTTTTCTTCTTCCCACCTACGGTTGCTAATCATACCCACAAAGAGTCGGCCAAGATGAGATCAATATAATCTAAGAGAAACCACATAGGTTGCTTGAGAGAAAGAGGCCGAGAGTTAGCCGAGAAGAACTCACAGAGAGGAATAAAGAAGACCACATTTTTGGAGGCGTGAAGGGAGCCAAGAATTATAGCCCAAAGGTGTGACCATATATGGTAAGTTAGGGTAGGTTACTTTAGTGGTCCAAAAGAGGCTTAACACAAAGGTATTGGGCTCCAAATGAATATCGTAGCCATCCAAGTAAATGGGACGGGCCACGAGCAACACTATTAAAATAAGTTGCTTCTAATGGCCTGTTGAAAATTGAATTGAGTTGTCTCGATGGTAGTGTGGACATAAGTTCAATCATATGGTTAATGCCGATTGATAATAAATAAAATCGAGGTTACATCATTGTCCGGGAGGTCGTTTGACAACAATTGCCTAACACCCATAAAATAGATGTCAAACATTCTCTAAACAGAAATTGTGGTGACAATATAACTATCTTTGATAAAACACACATGTTAAGTTTTAACATTTTAGTCTAAAGACATTGCTATAACCTTTATTTCACCATTTTTATTTTTAGAGCGTCTCATAGGAATGACATCAAACGTTATTTATGGTATGAATGTCAAATAATCGATTTAAAATGTGAAAGAAGTGTGAAATTTAAATGAAAAATGAAAGAGTTCGGAAATTTAAAATGGAATTGAAATTTAAAACGGAATTTGAAATAGTTGTGAAATTTAAAATGGAATTGAAGTTTAATGACTAATTTGAGATAAATTAAAATTTAGTGACCAATTGAGATTTTTCTGAAAGTTCAATGGCCACAGATGAAATATATTCCAGGATAATGCCTACCACTAATCCCTCGAGGCCTCAACCAACGCTGCAGCGAGAGGGAGAGAGAGGGAGAGAGAGAGAGCCACTCCAATGGCGACTCTCTTGAAATGCTACAAGCCCTTAATTCCACCGATACACCGCCAAACCTTCAAAGCGAAATTGCTTTCCTCCAGAGCCAATTTTCGATTCTGCACTCTATCTTCAATCAACTGCAGTAATAACTCTCTCCCTCTGACGAGTAATCGGGAGAGAAGTACCACAGTTAATGATGATAATGATAGTCTCATACCGATGAAGAAAAAGGAGTTGTGGCTGTACAATACTATGAGCAGGCAAAAGGAATTGTTTAAGCCAAAGGTTGCAGCCAAAGTGGGCATGTATGTGTGTGGCGTCACAGCTTATGATCTCAGCCATATTGGGCACGCTCGCGTTTACGTTTCTTTCGATGTCATGTACAGGTACATTCTTCCTCTCTATACATATTTGTTTATAATTGTTAATTTGTATACATGTAGATGTATTTGGTCCATTAGAATTGTCGTTAAGAAAAATAATTGGGTGAAATAGATGAAATAAGGGATAGAAAATGATATTCAGGATTTTAAGTACTTCTGAAACATAAGTAGGTAATTGGGCAAAGATTTGAAGGTTCTAATCTTTATGAGAGTATTAGGAAATTTGTTTATCTTCAATGGAGTTGTAGATACTTAACAGTGAATGCGATAAGAGATTCACTGGTGTGAGCTGTACCTGAAAGGATGCAGTGGTTTTGCGAGTCAAATGTTTCATTAGTAACTAAGCTCATAGCTCAGTCAAGCTTTACTTACTGAACTTTCAAATCCTTTCGAGTGGTCAATGTACTTTACTCACTGAATCCAAATGTTCGAAATTGAAAATTTTGAAGTATAAAATATCATATCTGAAGTCGGCTCTATTCTTTTCTCTTGAATATCTTGTGACAACTATAAAAATTATTGGCTTGTTTGATGCCCATTTTTGGTAACAACGTATTTTGGAATAATGATTGTTTTGGAGAATTTGGCTGAAAAATAAGAAAAAGTTTTCGATTTGTGTGTAATGTTATTTTACTGAAGAATGTATGGTTGAAAAGAAGAAAGACAAAAATATATTTCAATAAAAATAGGGCTCAAACAAGGGCTATATTTTATTATTCTAAATCAAAACTTTCACTGTCTTCTTGAGATATAATTTTTTATTTTTTGATTTGGGTCTACAATCTCAATTGAAATAAAGAAATAATTTCTTTTTATTTTTATTTTTTTCGATGTAAAGGAAGATTATAATGTAAATTAAGATTTATTTTACTTTGAAGCTACCATTCTTCGGTTCCTTCAACATGACTTTGGACAATTAGAGAAATTATATATTCTTGACCAATATCTAAATTCTCATCTTAAATTGAGAGTCTTAGGGCCCGTTTGGCACGGCTTTTACTTTGGCTTTTGCTTCTTGTAGAAGAGCTTTTGGAGAAAGCTATTTTAATTTTTGTTTGAAAATTAATATTTAAAATCACTTCCCATTCCGGAAGTGCTTTTGGAGGAAGCCAAAAAAACCAACTTCCTCTAAAAGTTTTTCTAACCTCCAAAAGTACTTTAAACAAAAATAGCCAAATGGTCCAAAAGCGGCTTTTGGCTCTCAAAAGCTCCTTTTGGCTTTTCAAAAGCCATCCCAAACGGGCTCTTATTATCTATTCGATAATTTATTTTATTTTATTTTTAATCTAAGTTGAATCACATAAAAAAATTAACTTTACTCGAAAATTTTATGAAGTTCAGTGATTACTCGGAAGCATTTTAAAATTTAGTAAATTAAGTGTGACGGATGTATAAGTTCAGTGACTACTGAAACGTGGTGGGTGAGTGATGGAGTGCAATATGATAAAGTTCAGTGAAAACTTAGAAGTATTTCAAAGTTCAGTGACTTATGAAACATGACGAACGGGTGATGGAGTGCACGTGTTAAAATTTAGTGATCACTTGAAGACATTTTAAAATTTAGTTAGTAAAACATGATGGACA